TATGAGAGCAATGAGACATGTATATGGATACATCTTGGTAGATCTTATTACCTCCAATTTTCAGCCTCCTCTACAACCGCCTCGTATTGAGACTTCCAACTTGCCAGTCTGACGGTCAATGATTTCCATTTTAGTTATTCAAAAACACAAGGAACTTACGACTCTGCCGCATCAGATTCAAGCTCGATGTACTCCCGAGCTTGTGCCTCTAAACGAGCCTCCAGATCGATATTGATCACTTCGACATCGGCGATGCGTTGCATGCACATGCGCAACTGGCTGTGACAATCTTGAACTTCGACATCGCAGGTCTCGCGCGGCGCGCTGGCACCCGATACCTAGAGCGACCGCATTGACAGACTTTGATAAAAAACCTACCCGATCAAAGAAGCCACCGCCGAACGCTTCGACGTCCGCACCAAAACCACTCATAGCAACAAAGATGAGGCCCGCGGGCAGGCCGTCCGGGAGTAAAGGTAGCACATTTTACACTCTCTTCTGCAAGCAACAACCGTACTAGTAAAAATTTTAGTATACGTCAAGCTAATCTAGGACTATTACTAGGGGCGGACAGTCGGCCGGCTGGACCGTCGAGTTCGACCTTGCGGTCACTTGCGATGGATAGCCGACTTCTAACTGATACTTAGAGAGTCTGGGTTCGCGTAAATCGACCTCGATCTCGCGGAGCTACGACCTCGCAAAGTCTCCGAGTCGGTTTTCCTCCCGCGCGGGCAAAACGCGGTCGCGTGTACGAGGCGCTCCGGCGACTTTGGGCTGGCGTGGGCGCACTCGAGTCGACATACATGTCGTCGGAACCCATCGCGCAGCCGTCCGACGCCTGTAGCCCGCGAGGACGCGTTGTGGCCCATCGCCTCGTTTCCACTGGCAGGCGAGAAACGCCAATAGGCGAACGGCTCAAAGGCACGCATCGATGCGGCTGGGGTCGAGGCCCAGTAGGCATCTGCACTCATGCCTGAATTAGAGAGAAATACCCAAAACTAGGGTTTGTTTTTGGAAATGTCAATCCACGAATTTTCTTGAGAGCCGACAGAACATCAGTCGAGGACTTGGCCTCAGGAAGCAAACGTCCTTTTCCCTTTTGTGGCGTTTGGATCAGTGGATGAGCAGCGGAAGTCCTAGTAAAAGGGGTATCTTTTCCCAGTGGGGTTGGAGACCTAAATTGCTCTAGAGCCCTAGCTCTAGCCGCTATGGCAGCAGGACGTTCTGCTTGGGGATACTCTCAGGATCGGGATCCTCTAACTAGGAAAACTCTCTATGAATCTCTCACGGCGGCGACTTCCGGGGTGCTTTCCAGCACCCGGATGATCGCCTCTCTAACGCGTGCTGCTTTTTCTGGAGCGGGGACGTCTCGCAGGTACTCGCTGATGGCTGTCTTGTCGAGCCGCTTCTGTACGGCCAGCGGCTTGCTCGCGCGAAACGCGTCCGCGACCAACGCGTCCGAGTCCAGCTTGGCGTCCGGCGGGTACTTAGGTCTATGCATTGCTAAAAGCTAACCGCCTTTGCTTAGCTCGATATTTTTTCACCGGATCTTGGTTTCCGGTAAAAAAGATATAACTCGATGTTAATGGATTTCCTGATTTCGTGCAGCCACGAAACTCGGCGGAGATGCGCGAGGCCGGGCCTCACGCAACATACCCAAATTAGGTCCTTGCACGAAACCAGCATCTCGGTGCACTGCTCCCGGCCCATCCAGGGAACCGGACCCAGCCGAAGCGGCCCCGAAGCGTCCGGGCTTCACTGTCCGCCCCTACTATTAAGGCTATTACAGTGACTATTGGCGTGAGTAAGACCCTCGAGAGCTCGCGAAGCGGCCAGGATTCCTTGTCCTCATGGCTGTGGCAAGAGATTGCCGGCGCCCGCGCACCGCGCGTGCGCCCCCGCGAGCCCCCGCGCGAGTTACGCTGTTGTCTGTGACCATGTGACGTTCGTAACCAGCTCCTTGGCTCCGGAAAAGACGCGCGCGTGCGTCTACGGCGTGGGCCCCAAAACGCCGTAATCCGGCGGTCCGGGTCATGCGGCGGCAAATCGATGAATTCTCGGGCGCTCTTGCAACCGGACGATCGAAATCATGGTGCGAGTCGATGGTGCGACGCATCTTTGGTCGCGCGCCGATTTTCTGACGACTCGCGAATGTCCGCCGGGCGCCGAAGCGCTTTGACCGAAAACGCGAACCGCGGTGCGCCTGTGGGCGCTGGCGGCGGGCTGGCTGTCGTCGAAGGCGTAGACCATATGTGACGAGCGGGCGAAGCCGTCGGAGGCGCCCCGGGTTGCGAAATCGGCGTACGAG